TAGTTAAAGGAGTCATTTTTTGCTAATGCCTCCTTATGTATAATATAATAAATTTAATAGTAGTAACTTAATTCAGAAATAAAAAATATGTTTCTAAAAAATTAACTTTACTTTTATAAAGTTTATTTTTGGTTTTCTTACTATAGGGGGACTGGGATGGCAGTGGATATAACCAGAATATGCTTGGATATTCTAGGATATTTTATCATCTATATTCATTTAGATTAATCTTGTATTTATAAATTATAAACATGTTTATAATTTATAAACTTTATTAAACTATTTCTAGTATATTATTTTTATTCTATCATCTAATGGCTGATATGCAATAAGATTAATCTTGTGTTTATAAACTACAAACATGCTTATAATTATAAACTTTATTTGATCCATTGGATTAATAAATAATAATAAAACTACTATTAAGAAAACGAAGTGCTACTATATGCAACATGTAGCAATCTATTTTTCTGCTTCTTAAAATAAACATTTTCAAAAGTTTTTACTATTCCTAGCTATATACAACATCTATTTTGTCTTCAATAATAAAATAAAAATAAAGAAAATTAATATAATATAAGAACTTTAATAATTTCATTATAAATTAAGTAATATTGAAGAAGGAAAACATAAACTAATAGCTACACCTTTAGTTTTCAAAATGTTTTATATTATTTTTATAAATTTATATCTATTATTTTTTGTAGAAAAGTCTTCTCAACAAAAGGTAAGTTTATCTAAAAATTTATTAAAAATAAATAACTTATTTAGTGTTATTATATTTAGTGTCATTATAAAATCTCAATTAAAACTGGGTGTAAATTATTTGCTGGTACTGATGCAGATATAGATATTACAATTTATACATTATCTAAAATGAAATTTAATTATAATGATTTAGATAATACAAATCATAATGACTTTGAACGTTGCAATATTGATGAATTTATTGTGGAAGATGTATGTCTTTTAAAAAATGATAAAATTTGTAAAATAGTGCTAGTACAAGATGGAATGGGGGACTCTCCTGGATGGTTTGTTGAGTGGATTCGTATATCAAATTTATCAACTGAATTAGCTTATTTTGATGTAGGAAAATGGATTGAGGATTTAAATACTTACGAAATAGGTATATGTGACTATGAATAGTAATTATATATTTACAAATTATGTGTGTAGAATATAATAAATTATACATCATCACTTAGATTATTATGGTGTACTTATAGTCTAGTCTTCTCAATAGTTTTAAAGGTGCCATTAATTGATAACTTAAATAAAAAACTTTATCAACTATACTTTCTTTATTTATAACCTCATTTTAATCTTAAATGAAG